ACAATTTTTCAGGACCCCAATATTTCAAGATGTAAAAGGAAATGACAACCCACTCCGGTATTGCCTGGAAAATTCCATGGACAGAGGAGCCTGGCAGACTACAGTCCATGAAGTTGCAACGAGTTGGACACAACTGAGCAACTGAGTACAGTGTTTCAAGGTGCTTGAGATCATCTCAGAGGCCCCGAGCCCCAGCTCTGGAGGTGACAATAATGTCAAAGACAGCGCCTGACAAATAAGCTGACCTCACTAAGTATCTTTGGACTGATTGGTTTAAGGAGTCTTCATGTCTTTCAAATCTTATTAACAAGTGTGGTATTTCCTTTTTTTCAGATTGCTGTAAACACGAAGAACATATATTTGCAAACTTCTATTAAACTTTCACATTCCTGAAAAAGGAATCAAGATGTCTCTTGATCAACTGTTTTGTTGATGGAACAGTTCCAGTTTGTTTATTTAGCTACTAAAAAACCTATTTTTATGATCAGTTCTACACCCTGTCTAGGGTCTGATATCATGTCAGCTCTTACTTGGTATAACATTTCATAACTGTTTGATAGATGCAAAACACAGAGACCCATTTACCCTCCAAATCATACCAGTGTGGTGGTGGTTGTCATGGTTGTTTGACTGGTCTAGTTGATTTACAATGTTCATAGAGAATGGACTTCCGGTTGTTGTTTTTAATGCCAACTGTCACTCAACCTGAATTCATCACTGATCCCAAGCTCTTTATCTTTCTTCCTTGGATCTAGTTAAGTTCTTCCCTATCCCATATTTGAATGATTACTTCTTCTTCTGTAAATACTATCTGGGTAGTCTCTGCTAGACTTTATCATTTTTAAGATAAAGTTTGATTTCATTCCTGTTTTATAGAATTTTAGCTACTAGAGGTTCAGTGAATGCAGAGTTTGGTCCAATAGTGACAATGACAGAAGCCAATATTTGACCTAAGATAAATAATCCTCACAAAATAAACTTCTAAGATATAATAAACTATCTAAAATTTTATTTTAAATATTCAAAACTTAGAACTTTTAAAATTGGATAATTATATTTTAAAGGTTTAACATTCTAGTATAGAAAAAGTTTCTCAGTGCTATCAACTATGTCACTCCTGTAGGCACAGTTAAAATATTAAATAGGTGTGCTTTTCCATATAATGATGGAAGAGTAAAATAGTTTAACTTTCCTGACTTTTCCCTAGCACCTTCTCCACTTATTCACACTTCTCATATTCTGTACTGTGTCTGGATAGATTATTATTTATCACTGACATGTTATACATGAGTTTGGGACTTTTCTCTTTATGAGCTTTGATGTTCTGCTTTTAATTTATCTTCCCTGGTGGCTCAGTCAGTATAGACTCCACCTGCAATATAGGAGACCTGGGTTCGATCCCTGGGTTGGGAAGATCCTCTAGAGTAAGAAATGGCAACCCACTCCAATATTCTTGCCTGGAAAATCCCATGGACAGAGGAGCCTGGTGGCCTACAGTCCATGGGGTCACAGAGAGTTGAATATGATTGAGTGACTAATACCTCCATTTTTTTTCTGCCACTTATTGGCTGGTGGTCTTGAACAAGTTACTTTCTATGCCTCAGTCTCCTCTTCCATAAAATGGGGATAATGAAATACCCACCTCGTTGGGTTGTGGTGAGAACTCTCTGATATGTGCCAAGTGGTCAAAAGTGTGCCCTTCTTATCATAAATGGAAGTATATGTGCTCGCTGTTATTACTGTTATTAAATAAGTGTCACTCAGGTGTGTCTGACTCTGCGATCCTATGGAGTGTAGCCTGCCAGGCTCATCTGTCCCTGGGATTCTTCAGGCAAGAATACTGGAGTGGGTAGCCATTTCCTTCTCCAGGGGATCTTCCTGGCCCAGGGGTTGAACCTGGGTCTCCCACATTGCGGGCAGATTCTTTACTATCTGAGCCACCAGGGAAGACATTATTATTATTATTGTCAATTATTAATTAGTACCCATGAAAGCTAACTCATGATTTATTACTTTTCATGAACTCTAGTCTCAAAATGACAGAAAGGAGGGAAATCAGACTTTCTGGATGGTTTAGAAAGTTTCTTAATAATACAAATAGTGGGATGCCCTTGGTGGTCCAGTGGTTAAGAAACTGCCTGCAATGCAGAGGACACAAGTTCAATCCTGGGTCTGGGAAAATCCCACATGCCATGGAGCAACTGAGCTGGTGTGCCACAACTACTGAGCCCACGCGCTGCAACTCCTGAAGCCCTTGGGCCTAGTTCCCATGCTGGGCAACAAGAGAAGCCACAGCAGTGAGAAACTCGAGTACCACAACTCGAGAGGAACCCTCGCTCACAACTAGAGAAAGCTAGAGAAAGCCAGCACAGCCACAAAGACCCAGTGTGGCCAAAAAAATAAATAAAAGCTTTAAAAATGTATATAAATATCAATAAAAGAGTTAATCATGACTCCATAGCATTCTTTATTCTAAATAAAGATCTTTTATTTATCTGAGTGAATGTTTAAAACTTTTAATTATGGAAGTTGTCAGACCTATATAAAAGCGGGGAGATTCATGTAAGGAAGCATATGTGTCCAGATGCACATTCCACAAGGAGCAACATGCCATCTTGTGTTTAACTGAGCACATTCAATCCGATGCCCCACGTCCCCAGCACCTCTGGTCATGTGGTGGTCAGGACAGCACAGAGCCAGTCCTTCTGCAAAATCAGACTTCTTAAGGAGCAACAGCTTTTACTTTATCTGAGGAGGTAGGAATCTAGCCCCTACAGCAAATGTTTACTCTCAAGAATCATTTTTCACATTTTTTAATTTAAAATATATTCTGCCTCTTGATAATTAAAGAGGCATAAGTCACTTCAGTTGTTTTTGGTCTTGGCTGTGCTCCCAAGTGTCAAATACTTTTGCTCCCAACAGATCAAACAAAAGTTCAAAAACCTCTGATGTCAATAGATCAAGTACAGACTCTTCTTTTTAAAAAATTTTTGGCTGCGCCCTACAGCACATGGGATGTTAGCTCCTCGACCATGGATTGAACTTGCCCCCCTGCATTAAAATGTGAAGTTTTAGGCTCTGGACCACCGAGGAAGTCCCCAAGTACAAACTAATAATGGTGGCCTTGTATTACTTCACCAGTGCATTTGTCACCAAGATACCCACATCCTCAGGGACAGAAAACCAGAGCTAACAGGCTTTGTCATCTCATGACCATCATAGTAAATGCGAAGTTTCTAGCACACTGGGGAACAGATGGGGATGCTCATAGCCAAGCATTGTTCAGTCAATCGAGTCTGACTCTTTGCAACCCCAGGACATCACACTTCCCTGTCCTTCACTATCTCTCAGAGTTTGCTCAAATTCATGTCCATTGAATCAATGATGCCATCCTACCATCACATCCTCTCCAGCCCCTTTCTCCTCATGCCCTTAATCTTTCCCAGCATCAGGGTCTTTTCCAGTGAGTCAGCACTTCACATCAGGTGGCCAAAGTATTGGAGCTTCAGCTTCAGTATCAGTCTTTCCAAAGAATCAGTTCAATTCGATTTAGTCACTCAGCCCAACTCTTTGCAGCCCCATGGACTGCAGCACACCAGGTTTCCCTGTCCTTCACCAACTCCCAGAGCTTGCTCAAACTCATGTCCATGTGTGATGACATCCAACCAGCTCATCCTCTATCATCCCCTTCTCCTCCTGCCTTCAGTCTAGCCCAGCATCAGGGTCTTTTCCAATGAGTTGGCTCTTCACATCAGGTAGCCAAAGTATTAGAGCTTCAGCTTCAGCCTCAGTCCTTCCAATGAATATTCAGGACTGACTTCCTTTAGGATTGACTGGTTTGACCTCCTTGCTGTCTAAGGGACTCTTAAGAGTCTTCTCCAACACCACAGTTCAAAAGCATCAATTCTTTGGCGCTTAGCTTTCTTTGTGGTCCAACTCTCACATCCGTACATGACTACTGGAAAAACTATAGCTTTGACTACATGCACCTTTGTTGGCAAAGTGATGTCTGTGCTTTTTAAAACACTATGTAGGTTTGCCATAGCTTTTCTTCCAGGAAGCAAGTGTCTTTTAATTTCATGGCTACAGTCACCATCTTCAGTGATTTTGGAGCCCAAGAAAATTAAGTCTGCAGCCAGGTACCTGGGACCAATAGTTCTGTCACTCACGTGAAGTCTATATAATCTGCAAATATGTTGGGAAGTTGTAGACCACAGCAAGTACTTTATAGGTACTGACTCATTTAATCCTTACAACTGCCCTATAAAGAAGACATGATCGGTCTGTATTCAGGGTTGAAGAACCTGAGTCACAGAGATGTAAAGCAGCTTGCCCAAGATCACACAGCCAGAAAGTGGCAATCAGCATTGGGAGGAGATTCTGTACAGCCTCTCCAGTAAGCCTTCTCTGATTATCTCATGTTTCCTTCTTAGCAAACCATGACATGCATGAAAAACGCAAAGGTATAAGCATAGTTTTTGTGTGCATTTTCACACTTCCTCTGTGTCATCTTCTTTATGAGATTTCATGCTAGATTCCAAACTGCTGGAGAGCATGAACAAAAACAAAACAAAACAAAAAAGAAAACTGAGCACAGAGTGATACTCAAATACCTTCCAGTCAAATGGCAATCACATCAAAACTATGTAACACTCATGGACAAAAATTTGATGATGATAAAAATGTGGAAAAAGGAACAACACAAGGTTTGTGACAGATAATAAATACCCTGTTTTATCAGCATCTGATGGGTCAAAGGAGCCTAGAAAAGAGAGATGTCTAAGTTCCTTATTTTTACAAAATGCCAACCTTGAGTGTTTTCACTTTCTTGTACTTTTCTACTCTTACACACTGGGAACTTCTTATTCCTTCTGGCATCTTTCAAATCTGTGTTTTGATCTCTGTGAATACCTGAGAATACAATCACATTACCTAAGTCACACTTTAACTGCCTTCAGACAAATATGCAAACAAACAGCTTCAGAAAGCTCAGTAATTACCTGAAATCTATGCCAGTGTAGACTGACATCATGATCAACACAGAACCAGCTGCTGAAATGAGGCAGTTATTGTTTTGCTCAAATCTTTCTTTTAGTTGAAATGAATCACCTAAGTCAGAAAGCAAAGTGATTTTAATAAGTAATAATCACAGTGACACATCTTATTGTAATATTTACAAAATGTTCTTGACATCATTAAGGCCATGCCCTTGGAAAGAGGAAGGAGGAACATAGAGAGTGAAAACACAGTCTGGGCACCCCCTCTATGACAGGCGATCCCATCCACAGGCAGAGAATCCTGGGGAAACTGGTGTGGTGATTTTTTATTTCAAGCTGAAGAATGAGCCTCAGAGCAATTCAGGAATGTACCCCAAATCACATAGTTAGAAAAGGACCAAGCAAAGATTAGCAGTCAGTTCTGTCCAGCACTCAACCCTCTGTTACGTCTCAGAGTTTCCTGAGAAATCTTTTGAGAAATTAAGTGGATTCTTTAATTTCCCAAAGATTTGATTCCATTCCTATGCCTAATCAGAAAGTAACATTTTCTCAAGATTCGAAACTTAATAGAAGCCCTATTGAGGAAAAGTGGAAGGCAATCAACAGGTCTGAGTTGTCAGATCACTCATTTTAATGACTGGTGAAGATGTATGACCTCAAGACTCTCATTCTCTTCTGTGCCCTCATTTAGATGGTGGAAGTTTATATTCACAGTAGTCATAATCCTCACAGATATAAGTGGATTAAGCCCATAAGTTAAAAGGCAGACATACTGGGAGAAGTTCTGCTTAAGAGACAACTAAAACTAAAGGACGTGGAAAAGTTGAGATTAAAAGGACGAAAAAAGATACACCAGAAAGGAGAATTGGCATACCTTCACCAAAATCACACACACAAAAATGATCTTTAAGACAAAAACTGTTACTAAATCATGGAAAAATTTTCAACTTACTAGGAAGACATAAGAATTCTAAATGGATACACATCTAGCAGTCTCACACCATTTAAATCAAAAATTTATATGTACTACTATAAATTAGTAGTATAGGGAGAAATTGACAAATCCAACATCTCTCTCTCAATTATTGGTCAGTCGAGCAACAAAAATGAATCAATAAATATATTTAGACAATTTGATTAAAAACCTTGATATAATGGACACAGGTAAAATCCTGAATATAACAACCAAATCCATTTTCCCTAAGTACATATGAAACAGGTACAGAAATTAATCAGGGGACTTCCCTAGCAATCCAGAGGTTATTAATCTGTGCTTCCACTGCAGGGGGGTCAGTTGTGATCCCTGGACAGAGAATTAAGATCCCACATGCCAAATGGTGTGGCAAAAAATAAATAAATAAAAAATAAAGTAAAGCACATCTCAACAAATTTCCAAAAACAAATCACATACCTACCACATTCTTTGAACACAATGTAATTAAGTAGTGAAAGTGTGAATGTGTTAATTGCTCAGTTGTGTCCAAGACTCTGCAACCCCATGGACCATAGCCCACTAGGCTTCTCTGTTCATGGAATTTTCCAGGCAAGAATACTGGAGTGGGTAGCCATTCCCCTCTCCAGGGGATCTTCCCAACACAGGGATCAAACCCAGATCTCCTGCATCGCTGCCAGATTCTTTATCATCTGAGCCACAAGGGACCTAATTAAGTAGCGTCAATAACAAAAAGATATGATGTTTTATACACTGGAACTTAAAAAACAGAATTCTAAGTAATTCATGACTCCAAAAAGAAATTAGAATGAAAATTTAGAAATGGTTGGAATAATCATAAAACTCATACTGCCCATGAGGTTCTCTAAAACTTGTGTATTATGGTAAAAACTGCTCTCAGAGGGAATTGCATGGTCTTAAATACTTATATTTGCAAAGAATAAAGGCTGAAATTTAATGAGCAAACTCCTAACTAAAAATGGCGAAAATCACAGCAAAAATCTAAAGAAAGAGAAAAGAGAAAATCATAAAGAAAAGAGCAGGCATCAATGAGTAGGAGAAGAAATATCATACAGTAGGAAGAATCAACACCACAGTGATGAGTAGTTCTGGTTCACCGCAACTAGAGAGAAAGCCTGAGTGCAGCAAGGAAAACCCACCATTGCCATTCATTCATTCATTCATAAAAAAAGAAAGCAAAACTTGAGAATACAATGAAGTTTTATGCTGATATATTTGACAATTAGATGAAACAAATTTCTAGAAAAATACAATTTATTAATCATGACTCAAGAAGAAATATTAATAGAACGCTTGAAGAATCCTAATATTATTTTTGAAAACTGAAGCAGTATTAAAACACCTTCCACAGCAAAACACCAGACAGTGTTTTACAGGCTGCTGCTCAGTCGCTTCAGTCGTGTCCGACTCTGTGCGACCCCATAGATGGCAGCCCACCAGGCTCCCCTGTCCCTGGGATTCTCCAGGCAAGGGTACTGGAGTGGGGTGCCATTGCCTTCTCCGGTTTTACGGGCTAGTTCCTCAAAATTTCAGGAGACTCATCATTCCAACCCAACAAAAATTCTTCTAGCACACAGAAAGAATGAAAACATGCTCTCCAACTTATTCTATGAGCTCAGTATAATATCAATTTAAAAAATCAGGCTAAGTCAGTAAGACAAAGGAAAAATACGCTAAGCTCATTCATATACATTGGTGCAAAATTCTTTTAAAAATTAGCAAAATGTATCCAACCATGTTTAAAACAGATGATGTTTTATTTTTCCAGGAATGCAAGGTTGGATTGAAATGAGGAAATCTGTGAATGTCATTGTGTAGTGAAAAATTAACTTCGCTCAAAGACAGATCTTGGCTTTAGTCCCAGATCCTGGGAGGTAACCTTTAAACTCTTGAAATTCTCTGAGTAATAGGAGTGTCTTTGTTATTCACGGTGGGCCCCTTGTGACACACCTGAGCATTTATGCTAACAAGATGACTCAGGGTGGGGACTGGCTGCACCAGAAAGACCAACCAGGTTGATGAGAGAGTTGGGGCTTTGGGGCACTTGAATCCAACCTGACCTCAGGACAGGGAGAAAGTTGCTGGAAACTGAAGTTAACCACATGGGCAGTAATTTAATCAGCAGAACTTCCCTGATGGCTCTGTGGTGAAGAGGCTGACTGCCAGCGCAGGAGACACAGGTTTGATCCCTGATCCAGGAAAATTCCACATGCCATGGAGCAACTAAGCCAAATTTGTGCTACAAATTTGAGCCTGTTGTCCTAGAGCCCAGGAGCCATAGCTACCGAACCCACAGGCTGCAACTGCTAAAGCCCTTATGCTAACCCCCTGCTAAGCCCCTAGAGCGTATCCTCTGCAATAAGAGAAGCCACAACAATGAGAAGCCAGGCACTACAGCTGTAGAATGGCCCCTACTCACGGCAACTAGGGAGGGCCCGCACGGCAACAAAGAACCAGCACAACCAAAAATAAATAAATAAAATTGGGAAAAGAAATGTGGACAGCAAAGCTTAGGGGAGTTGTGTGGGTTGACAACACTCTGTGTATTGCCATGCGCTGATGCTGCAAGGACTGTGCATCCCTGACCACACAGAAGCTTTGTGTCTGAAACCTTCCCAACTTCATATTCTGCCTTCTGTATCTCTTCCCTTGTCTGGCTCTGTTTTATATCCTTTCACTATAATAAGACTGTAACTGTTACATATAGCATGTCCCTGAGCCTGATGAATTATTCTAGTGACCATGAGAGAGTCCAGGCCCCTGAATTTGTAGCCAGATGCTCTGAGCAGAGGTGGCCTTGGAGACCCCTCAATTTGAAACTGGTGTCAGAAGTCTCAGGCCAACTTGGTAGCCTGGCAGACTGTGCCCATCACCTTGAGTTTGGCTAACTCTTAGTAGTCGAATGAATGAAAAAAAAAAATTGGGTAAACTCAATGGATCCAGAAAAAATATTAATAAAATTTTCTAATTATTTTGATAAAAAAAAAGACCTTAGTAAACTAGGATTAGGATAAAACTTCTGTAGCCTGATACAGAGAATATAAATAACACTATAAACATAGAAATGTTCAAAATATTTTTTTAAAGTCAGGAGCAAATCACAAATGTCACTATTCACTGCTCTTTCTCTAAATTTACTGGCATTCTAGAGGATGTAATAAGAAAAATAAATTCAAGCCATAAACATTAGAAAAGAAGAATCAGGACAGTTATTATTTGCAGATTATATGATTTTCTATAAATAAAACCCAAAAGATAGATAAATAGACATTTTAAAACAGTAAGATAATTTAGCACGATGGCTACCTGTAAGAGCTATGTTAAAAAATCAGTTGTGTGTCATATATTAACCCTAAAGACAAAATTATAAGGGAAAAATAAGTCCCAGAAGAACTGCTGAAACATAATGCCATTTCTAAAGAGCTTAAAAGCCAGCAAAACTATATAAACTATCATAAACACATTGGAGACAAATGTTTTTATATTTTAAAAAACAATGAGGACACAAAAAAGAATATCTACCATAGTATCATTTGTAACAACCTCAAACTGGAAACAAACTAAATATTCATCAACAAATAAATGAGTAACCACAGCATCATATTGTTACTGTTCAGTCGCTAAGTAGTGTTTGCGACTCCGTGAACTGCAGCATGTCAGGCTTCCCTGTCCTTTATCATCTTCTGGAGTTTGCTCAAATTCATGTTCACTGAGTCAGTAATGCCATCCAACCATCTTGTCCTCTGTCGTCCCCTTATAGTCATACAATAAAATATTCCACAAGAAAAACAAATATATTACTGTGAATACTCTCAATACCATGGGTGAAACTCAAAAACTTTATGCTGAACAATAATTTTTTAAAAACTGCCTACAAAGAAGTAAACATTGTATGATTTCATTGATAAGGAATTCTAAAACAGGCAACGTTAATTTATGGAGACAAAAGAAAGAATAGTGGCAGCCTTTGGCAGGGAGAGATTATTGGTTGGAAGAAGATACAAGGGACTTTCTGGGGGAAATGGAAATATATTTTTTGAATGGGATAGTGGTTCCATGGGTGTAAACATTTTCCAAATCTCATCAAACTATACCCTTAACATCTGCACATTTTTCATATATAAATTATACTTCAAATTTTTTAAAAACAGAACATAGAGGGAAGTCTTATAACCTAAAAAAAAAAAAAACAGCAAAGACTTGGGACTTCCCTGGTGGTCCAGTGGCTCAGACTCTTGTTCCAAATGCGGGGGACCCTGATTTGAATCCTGGTCAGGGAACTAGATCCCACATGCCACAACTAAGACCTAGCACAGCCAATTAAATAAAAATTATTTTTTTAAAAAATTAAAATATGCAAATCCTAAGCATTTTGCTTTGTTTTTTGAAATAGAGGTTTTATTTGTATTAGGGTTTCATGACCAAGCTTATTCATATGTAAAAGAATTCTCTCCCATTCGAAATGAATTCATATAATCATCTTAATGAGAGATTAACAGAATTTGAACTAAGTGAAAAAGTATATAACCAATCCAACTTGCCTAAAGGCATTTGATAAAAATCAAACAACTACGTTAAGGAGGAAGAGAACAGATTTGATTTGTTCTCATTGACATGCATTGTACTCTTTCATATGAACCTATCACATGCACTGATCTTCTGAAGAATATTAAGAAGTAATGGTTACACAAATTGTGAATATGTTCAAGACCACTGAATTGTATATATTTTTTTTGATTTTTTTTAATGTGGACCAGTTTTAAAGTGTTTATTGAATTCATTACAACAAAGAAGTTTCTGTTTAAGAAAAAAAAAAAGAAGCAATGATTATAGTATGTCCCCTACCTATGAGTGAGCTCTGATCCGAGAGTGTGTTCCTTAGTCCAATAAGTTCAACAAAGTTAGCCAAGGTACCCAACTAAAACAACTGGCTATTCAGTACTGTACTGTTCAGTTCAGTTCAATTGCTCAGTCGTGTCCAACTCTGTGACCCCATGGACTGCAGCATGCCAGGCTTCCCTGTCCATCACCAACCCCTGAATCTTGCTCAAATTCATGTCCCTCCAGTCAGTGATGCCAGCCAACCAACTCACCCTCTGTCGTCAACTTCTCCTCCTGCCTTCAATCTTTCCCAGCATCAGGGTCTTTTCCAACGAGTCACTTCTTCACATCAGGTAGCCAAAGTATTAGAGCTTCAGCTTCAGCATTAGTCCTTCTAATGAATATTCAGGGCTAATTTTCTTTAGGATTAAGTGGTTGGATCTCCTTGCAGTCCAAAGGACCCTCAAGAGTCTTCTCCAACACCACAGTTCAAAAGCATC